TAGGTAAGCGCACCTCATACGGAACGTAGCATCGGAAGATGGACTTTTTACAGTTCCAGCCCGAAGCTGGACTCCGGACAAGGTGCGTACACATGGGTCCCTCGACCAAGTTGCGAAAACATCATCAAATCATTTCTACACGACGATAAAAGATTGTAATCAAAATATAGACACTATTGTATTCATAGCTAAGACTAAGCTTACATAAAATGTGTCCTCATCTAATTGGGAAGTGTGAATAGTAAAGGCGAATTAGGTTAAATCAAATAAAGAGCAACACAAAGACTTGGCAAAAATAACGCAATGTAAAATCAGAACATTTTGAATAGATCAAGGATAACGTAGCTTGCGACAGTTATCACATTAATACATGAGAAAGTATGGGCTGTTAGACATTATCCAGGTTATTTTGCTTATGAGTAATATTCGATTAATTCCGATTGCTAATTAATTTTTCTTAAACAAAGATCAAAACCCAAAATTATTTCAGAATATCTATAGAGAACTATTTGTCTGTAGCGCTGCTGCGCGTGCTGACTCATTTTTATTGGTAGGTCTTCCAATAATTTAGATCGCAACAAGGAGTGTCTTTTAATAACTGACATAACATAGATTAAGTCAAATTAATCTTCTATAATGGTGCAGTGCACTAAAAAGTAAAATGAAAAATGCATATTGCATTGGCACCACAAAATTAAGGCACTTGCATGTGCAAGTAGAATTTGACGACATCTAAATTATTAAAGAACACGGCCGGGGGTAATGCAACGAAATAATTAAATGAATATACTAAGTAAATTATATAAATAAAGGCATAAATAATCAGTAAAATTCATGTATACCTGTGAAAAAGTACGAAATACATATGGGAGCAACGAGAAGTTCGTCCAGAATAACCTTAATGGCGACAAAACGAGGGGTACGACTTGGAAGCCGGTTTTCAAGCCAGGTGTAATAGAGATGTTGACCAATGCCAAGACTCGCGCCAATCGAACCAACTCGCGCTAGATAAATAAATAGCATGATCTAATGGCTAGAATAAATGTAGACCAAGGCCATAAAATAAATATGCAAGCCTACCCATTTTCTTATAGTTGCATGCTTGTATATCACTATCGTAAGAATTTGGATTCGATTGAATAATTCTTTGCTCAAATAATTGATGGTAGGAATTGAAGTGCATCTTGATATTCTGAGCAGTAAACTCACCAAGAAAAAACATTAGCCCAGAAAAGAGTCCATCCTTAATGATACTCATAGACTTAATTGGTCTTATTACAGACTTCTCCACTAAGGATAAAATGGAGCGCATTAAACGAGGGAATGTATAGAACGCAATGTTAAAGCGTCTAGAGCGTGAATGAAAATTCAGACAGGAGCCACCTGGCGAAGATCGCGGAAATAGCCTATTAAAAATATTAGGGAAACATTATTTTGACACTTGAATTATTATAATTATAGTAATGTGAAAAATATTAGTAACAACATTATGCTTAACCACAAATTTTTTTAAATATACAAGCAGCAAATATAAATTCATATCAGAATTTAGACTAATCATCCTCAACTGTTGTAAAAATTATGATATTCTTCTCTGATTCGTTCCTTAATTTAAAAAATTTAATCTTAAAAAAATACTTACATATTTTGGGAAGCTCTAATATAAAAATTATATGAGATAGATGATAGTGAAAGAAGAGTTGAGCTTTTACATAATAAGATTAGGCATAGTTTGAGTAATAATCTCATTCTTGAGCATTTCTTGACTCTACTGAGAATGACAGATAAAATATCCGAAAGGATCTCAGATTTGATGGGTTGGAATCACTAGAGGAAGCTACATAAATATGTCATCTATAGGTAGCCCATTCTGAAGACGCTTCTAGAATGATGAATTCCACGGATAAAATCTGTTTCGATTCGAAAGCTTAGGCGATCCTAATTAAGGCATCCATTCTTTCATATGAGAAGAAACTGTGTTCTGAAGAATCCCTTAATGGATTGACACTGGCGTAGCTTTCATTTCGCTTTAGAAGGCGGGTCAAAGAGATTAGTAGATTGGCCTCACCGGATACTACAAGAGAGTTGCTTTGGGCTTTTGGCTGTTAAACTGCGCGACGAAGACCTTGGTTCACCGTCTTACGACCCCGATGACTCCGTGCTGAGCATTCGTCCGTCCTATGATGGACATCGTCAGAGCTAGAAACCATTATTTACGAAAAATCATCAAAAACACTAAACCGAGAAAGGTGGCCAGCTGATATCCAACTTACTTCTTTTGCCTCATTTTGTGATCTTAATGAGGCATTTGGCTGAAGTATGCTTGTATTGCATACATGTAAGTGGGTCAAAGGAATGCAGGCAGAAGAGTAGATGTGGTCACAAATTTTGTCAATGTAGATAAACTAGAGTATGATTTAGTAGTTCTTGGTCTTGTTACAGCTTCGTGGATGCAACGATCCCGAATTAGTTGCCAATTTTAAGTTCAAAAACAAGCTCCAACTTAGTCTATTTTCCTCCTTTTTCTCAGTGACTCTTTCCGTTCCCTTTTATTCTCTATCTCTCCCATTCTACTTAGAAATCAGAGATAGTTCTTACTTACTTTCCTAAATTGATTCCACTTATTAAGGATGTTGTTTGTTTTATAAATCTTAATCGACTCCCTGATCTTCCGCTTAACTGTTATGTCCCTGGCAAAACGTTGGAATTTAGACCGCTTTATCTAGTAACTTGTAACGACCACATATTCTGTCACTTCCGATTTCTGAATCCATAAACCTTTGCAGAAGGTTAGGTGATCTGATAGCCTTTATGTATAAATCGACAAGTCTCATATACACAAATATTACCACATTAGCACAATATCTTATTACAACCTGATCCTCAGAGGGAGTTAAAAGATTTTCTAAAAGAAGGCATGATCGAGGAAAGCGTTATTGTTTCGTTATACATTGTCGTGACACTCCATTTCCTTTATAATTCGTCTATCTTTCTTGAAAGCTTGTATGGTGGTGGCATTAGGAACCTGGCCGAAGAGTTGTCTGATTCCTTATTTTGACCAAAATAATCGTTTTTCTTCACTATATTTCTCAATATTTTGAATTTGATAACAATTAATCCTGCACGATAATTGTATTCAACTAAGATTTTTCTTAGCCTTTTTAACTCCTGTTCTTCATGATTTACGTCTGCTAGGCGTAAACTCCTTATTATCATTGATTTAATTACTCCTACCTTAACACCATAAG